TATGCTGCTATAGGCTTAGACTGCTGGAGGACATAGGGACAACTTCATTCTACTTCTATCCTCCAATGTTGCCTTGTTTTTTTTAGTTCAACTTCTGATTTTATGTTCTTTAATTCTTCACATTAGCTTCACCTGACCTGTGACATCACCCTGAGGGGAGGAATCAGCCGAGTTGCTGTTTTTTCCCCCCAGCATTTCGTCCTTTTTATTAGACCTTGGTGTCTCTGCTGTTGTGCGAGTCATGGCAAGTGTTCTGCTCATACTGAGCCCAATTCTGGTGGAGTTTTTGTTTCCTTTTTGTTAAAGGGGAGCATTTCCTCTCCACTCTCGCTACATGCATAAGGGATTGCTGGAAAGTCAACAGAAGTGTGAGAACAAATTTTTACCATCTCTACATGCTCATCCAGGAGGAGTAAATCTTGCAAAGTCAATGACTGCATGTAATGAGGTGAGTTTCCTTAAAAAAACTTTTTTTTCTAGAACCTATTGAGTTTGATGGCAGGAATGTAAAGGTAATCAGATTATAAACTACTTCATTTTACAGAGAAATAAATAAGATCCAGAAGATGATGTTCTAGATGTCCAGAGGTTGAAGAGATTCTAGTTAGCCTACAAATCAGCTGATGGGTCCAGCTGGGAAGTTTCATTAAACCTCTGATTTAATTAACTTTTTTTACACTAAGTATAAATTCAGTTTGTTCTGAACTTTGTGAATTTTACTCCTGAAAAAGTCTGGAATAGTTTTTATCCAGGTCTGGAAAACAGGAGGATCCTTTCAGCAAAGCAGTCCTAATTTTCAGGAACCAGTCTGATTGGTTTTCAAAATAAAAGCTCATCCAGACCCCTGGCTAGAACCAGTTGGCTGAGGGGAGGCCGAGCCAGAGTCCAAGGGGTTAGAGGGACAGATTGATTATGTTCTCTCTGCAAGGGACAACCAGGTCCAGAACAACCAAGGAAAGGGATGGCTGTGGTGAAGGAGGAGCCCTGATATTTCTGATCTCAGAAGGTTGGTCAAGTCCATGGAAATAATTTACCCTGAAGGTTCTAAATAAAACATTTTGGTTCCTAAACACTTTAATTATGGTATGAGACCAGTTCCAATCACAGACCAGCGACCCGGCTGGAATACTGACAGATGCCATGGATAAAGACGGATGATTTGGATAAAGTTCTTAATTCCACTGAATGAATGAAAACA